CTGCTGACGCAGGGCTATGTACAGCTGGTTGCCCATGATTGTTGAGGTCTTCTATGCAACTGAATATGTTATATGTCTCTCCACTCAGAGAAACCAGTCTTGTAAAAAGAACAAGCTCATCCTCGGTTTCTAAGATTGGGTATCCATTGAAAAAAAGTTATTGAACTTCAATCTGTAGGACCAAAGGTCTGAGCAAAACACTGTGCACAAAGCACATGAAGCTAAATTGGGAGGTGGGAGGGAAAATAATAGTGTAATAATGGAACTTCTGGAAAATACAAATAAGCCTTTCTCAGGTGCTGAGAGGGTTCTTTTGATTTCTACCTTACTCCTTCAGCAGAACTTCTAGCAAGATTAACTAACTGAGATCTTGATATTTTTCCTGATTCTTACATGATCATTCAAAAGATTGTGCTGACTGGGTTTCCTAATTGTGCTGATTTACAAAAGATTAGCAAGACATGCAACCTGGGAACAACATACGACATTGTGGAAAGGCCAGATATGCTGGCTAACCTGAAACAAAGCTCAAACGCAAAAGAATGTCCAAAAACAGGGAAAAAAAAAATTTAATATTAATACTTTACAATCACTGACTGAAGATCCTTCCATATGAAAATCTGCAACTAGTTTACAAGAACGAAATTAATGTAGTCCTAGAACACACGTGAAATGTATAATGCTCATGTATGGTAACTACTTACAGATGTGAATATTGCAGAAGAGTAACTTGCCTAATTGGGAACTATACATTCTTTAGCTTCCTTGTCCTATGCTCTACCCTTACAGGTTATTCTCTTGCCATTGTTAAAAAAAAAAAAACAAAAACAACCCTTACATTTTTAATTAAAATAAACTCCCCGTTTCTACAGGTTATTCTCTTGCCATTGTTAAAAAAAAACAAAACACCTTAAATTTTTAATTAAAATAAACTCCCCGTTTGTAAATCCTTTTATAAATAATATAGGCTTGACTCACACTCACATGAAACTCAGAGAGTACACACTAATACCTAGTTGCTAAGGAGCAACTATAAGGTCATGTATTTATAAGGTCAGGTTTGTCAGGGTTCAGGAATGAACTGACATAATAACTTGTTCTTAGTTCTGTTAAAAGTCTCTCTCAAAATAGCCATCTTAATTTATTGGGTAGAATCTTCCAAAATCTCCTCACTAAGGTCAGGATGGAGGTATGAGATGAAATCACAAAATCTACACAGCAAATTTCTGTTCCCTCACATTTTCTCTGGATTATCAGTATTTTAAAGGCATACATTACCATGTCACAAATAACTATCGTTTTAGTACAAAACCAAAGCTAATCTAAATTTTGCCATTACCACTCAGAATAGGTAATCAGTTTGCTTTCTGTGATCTGAATCAATGTGTCCACTAGGTGGTGGTGTGGTCAACATAAATTGCTGAAGTAGCGCTACAGGTGACTAACTCAAAAGTAGAACCATGAAAACAATTTGCCCCTGAACTGTAATACTATTGTCGAGTGACTGCTGCATTTCCCTTTATGGATGGAGGCTTTTGCCTCGTGCTTAAATACACAAAATTTAAGTTAAAAAAAAAAAGTTTCCCACCTCAGTCCCAATTAAAGTAGGACGGATATAAAGGCTGGCAGCGGTTGAGTATGGGACCCACTCCTTTTCCACTTCCACAAGCTTCCGGATGCACTCTAACAGCTCATTCTGGTCAAAACACTGGGAAGGAAAAGCAAAGGGAGAAAAGCAAATGGAAAAATACAGCCTGAACACTCCATGGTCTTTATAGATTTGCATGCTAAGGGGAACACTTTGTCAGGATATGTAACAGTGACAGTCCATAGAGGTTCACAGGACTACATCATCTGCCTTGAGTTCATTTCTTACAGAATTTAAGATCCCATAGTCTTTGCCACTGTGCCTTTTTATACAGCACCCTGAATGCGCTCCTTCTGCTACAAAGTCTCCTGAGATGGTAGAAAGGAGCCATTGACCCTTCTCGCCTCCAAAGCACATGGTGGCATGCTGCAAGCTATGGCACCACCTTTTCTGCAGAAGAGTGTTTTGGGTTACAGTTCCAAAGGGCCCACCAAGTCTCCCACTTTTTCAAAGTTGCAAAGTTCTTACAGTAACAAAGCTAATAAGCATAGGAGGAAATTCACTGGCCAATATACAACTGCTACACGCAGTGTTAAGTTGCTAGCATGACCACAAATGAAGGCACTCAGAGGCTGAAGGACTTAAGTGGAAAGAAGGAAGAACATTAGCGCCAGAACAATTTCATCAGCTGTCTGCATGCAAATAGCTGCAGAATAGTGCTCATCCCTCAGAACCAGACTGTGTACATCACAGACTGTGAGGCAGCAGGGAGACAACAAAGAAAGAAAAACACTGTTGTGATTTAGAAGAAAAATGCGTTTCAAACAGTTCACTGAATAAGATCTCTTTTAACAAAGCTTAACGGAACTATTCAAGAGTTAGTGTGTTTGATAAATGTTACACTACTGTAGAGTTTCAGAGATTTTGCACTCTAAAAATAAAAATATACTCTGACATACTGGCAGAGTTGCTCGTCTTGCTGATCGTGCCATCCTGTCCATGTTGAGGGTTGGCCGGAACAGGCGGATTTTGCCATCCACTCCTCGGTAAGCCTTCATTCCTTCAAACAACTACCAAGCCAAAAAGGAGGGGAAAGAAATCAAATAATAATTGAGACACGTTATCCCATGATGATCTGTGCAAAAGCAGAACACACCCTTTAGAAATAAAAGAACTTCACTTTCCTGCTTACAGTACTCAAAGCATAAATGCTAACTAGTTAATCCTTGCAACACACTCCTGTGAGTTAGTATTATGAAGTTTATATTACAAAGACAACCTGCCTATGCTTCAAATACATCTTTCTCTATCAGGGGACTTAATGATAATAATTTTTTTCATAATTTGGTTACAGCAATTAAAATTTGTAGCATGTGTTTGACTTAACTATTCCCTCACATCCTGACTGATTCCTAAGGCTGAGCCAAAACAGTATTATCACTTACGGAAAAGATCTATAAAGTTTAATTATATAGTTAATTATTTTTAGGGCTCTGTCCAAAATGCATTTTGGTAGGAAGCATAGAATAAGGTTATTAAGCAAACTCTGCTGCAGTTCTTGCTGTAGTTGTAGCAAAATCTTGGTCACTTATTTCCCCCGTATACCCCTACGCTGTGGATGGGGGTTTAGCTATCATAAGAGACAGATGCATCAGCCTTGCATTAGAGGAAGAATGCATGGAACTATTTTATCTATACTTTATGGGAAACTTCAATTAGTCATAATTATCCCATCAAACTGCTTAATCTGGATGACTGGTGTTGACAATTGACCAGAAACCCTTACCCCCACCAGTGCCCTCCCAGCATTAACATCTCCTAACCACAGCAAAAAACATATGCCAACAAAATATCCATAGTTATTTTCAGTTACAGATTGATAACTCTCAGTTATAGCTATAGACAGAAAACACATATATTATATAAGCTCACATTAATATATACAGGTATTATTTAGATTTAGTATTGAAGGATCACTTATGCTTACAGACAAGAGTTCAGATTTTTAGAATTTAATTTCTAAAGCATTTATTTATACATTAAATTTCAGTATAAGTTCTATGAATTTAATTGCATCATTGCTGTCAGTCTCGTCAGAATTCTCCTCCTGACTGTTCCACAAAAAATGGCTGGAAATACATTCTCTGTGGTTGGAAGTCTACATATGCAGGTTTTTTACTTGGAAAAAAAGAATCCTGTATTTGTGTATAAGTAATTTTAGTAGAATACTCAAGGTTTCATTATTATTAAATTCTATAATGTTTTCCCATAAGGATCAGTGCAATGCAATGTTTAGAAAGCTTTTCTGCGGTCCCATGACAGAGCTAGGTCCTTCCACATGACAAATTTTAATTGGGTTGTAACTGGGTTGCAGGAATCCCGGCAATTTACCTTAGGCTACATGCCAACTATGTAGCAGAACCAGAATTAGAACCGAGAACTTTTTGCCTTCAAAATGTATCTTATTCTTATGGCAATGCCAACCTTATTAAAAGCTTTGTATGCATTTTTGAAAAAGAAACTTTCTAGGATAAACACTGTAGCTACAAGAAAAAAATTCTATCTTTAATAAAGGATGACATAGCTGGTGGTATCGTTGATACTTTGATATGATTTTTATTGGGCCAGTTACTAATACCACATTTCTGTAATGCTATCATCTTATCACAGAACAGTTGTTTCCCCCCACCCTTCTCCCAAACACAATCACAGAACTTTTAATGAGAGGGAAGAGGAAGGAATGTTACTAAGATTTGATCAATGGTTTGAGAGAAGTAAGAATCGCATCATTACTGAAACACAAAGCCTTCTCAAGCTGTTAAATCTTTTTTTCTCCAAAAAGAAATACTTTTAACCTTCCAGAGCCCAGTAAAACCTTTCACTCGTTAAAAAGGGAGACAGTGATGTGTTCCAGAAATGCTCAACTTGAATAAAAGCAACTGCTGTGGTTGCTTGATGGTTGGTTGCTACAGTGGTGTGCAAACAATATTATCTGACATCTGTACATCACAGGAGCTGGATCTGGAGTTCAGCAGATCCAGACTATCACACTGCATCATGGAGGGCAAGGAGAAAGGGGAGGGAATGCCAAATTCATCGTTTTTATTATACCCACTGTGTATTCATTGAGCCACAGCATTGGCACCAGATTCTCCTCTGTCTGTCCTCTTGGCTAGAGGAAACGTGATGCAATAAGGGTAAAAGAATAAAAAAAAATGGAAAAAAAAATAAGAGCATATTCATATTAGCAATGATTTCAGACTGGGCCAGAGGCCAAGCATTAAAGCAATATGCTACTAAGAGTGAAATATAGATTTGGGACTCCAGCGTGGTTTCTTACTTCTTGGGCAGATCAAGAGCTGCAGCCTTAGTCACAGGGGCCTGTTGTAATTTATACAGGACCTTTGGAGGCTTGGTGACTAGATGAGGAAAAAACCAACAACAACAAAAAATGGTGAAGGCAGGAGCTCAGGGACAGCAAGCAGGAAAAAGCTTGATCCTTCCCTTATACCAGTGGTTTAAAAAAAAAAAAAAAAAAAAAAAGCAAAAGAAAAGAAACAATAAAAGAAGCACAAGCAACTCCACTGACTTCAGTGGAGACACTCCCACCTATCCAGAAATGGGAGGAAAAGCAGGCTTCCATTTCAGCATATTGCCCTACAGAGGCTCCCACACAGATGTGAGTATAGCCAAAGCTGCTCTGCAGACACAGAAGGCAGCTTTAGACAGTAAGCAGCTAAGCACGGAAACTTAACCACGCTGGTTTCCGACTTAACATTTCACTTTCCAAAGTTCCTTGATGTATATTCTCTGCTTAAATACACTTGTATATGCTGAATGCATCAGATCTAGTTCCAAGCTCTCCAGACTTGTTTGGAGTTGCGAACAAGCATCTGTCTAGTCTGTCCTGCAATCCAAGCTATGAACCTTTAAAACAGCTTAAAATAACTTTCACAAAGTGCATGTTCAGTCTCCAAATTAAAGCTATCTTGGAATCTCACACAGTTTCATCCAGTGCTTCATTAAGTCACATCAGAGACAGTAATTGGACCGATTCACTGTCAGTGAACTAGAATGCTTTCTCAAATCAATTTGTTACCACACAAGAATGGGCTCACCTTCACTAGGCTATAAAGTTAAGTGAGCGGGAATCCACAGGCCAGAGTTGCTTCTGAGTTATATTAACATAATCATAACCCTGTTTTAAATAATGGAATTATTCTGGAAGGACATCAGTTAACAAAACAAAATGTAAATACTAATAAACTTAAGATAGCAATAGTCCTTGTATTACAAAGCCATGGCTTCAAGAGCTAATGAAACAAAATGGTAGTTTCCAAATCGATTCAGTACTCACTTCTATAGCATAATGCAGAGATGAGGAGGCCGGATGCAACGAAAGGTTCTCAAGCGGCTTAATATAAGGTTTCTCCCATCCTGAAGCCAAGGACCATTCAATTGTCAGCATATTATCAGTGAACACAGTTCCAAATACCAAACCACTGGGGTCTGGTTTTTCCTTGAAAGTCGTAGCTGGGGTGATAATCAAGTCTGAAGCCTGAAGGAACATGAAGGCAAAAATTAAGTGTATAAAAATAATTAAGCCAGACAGACTATTCTGCATCAGTGAACATGGACAAATGCAATATTTTATCTGCAGGGATATTTAATGACAGAATGGTTAAAGGTGGCTAACCTCTCAGTAGCTGGCAAAGTATCCATAGTGTGTATGCACACATATACATAGTGCTGCTTATACCAGAAGTAGTTAGCAGATTTTGAAGCACTGTTAAGCGGAGGAAGCAGTACAAGGTGTAAAACCAGAAAATTAGCAGATGAAAATTTCTTGGACATTTAGATTAACACATCTATACAAGCTCCAGAAACACCCAATTGCTGTACCTCAGAACATAAGCTGATCATCAGAAATTAATCCCTCTCACAAGTAAGTAGATATGTTACGCTGATTTTCCTTTAATGCATAAAACTAGTGTGAGAGATCAGAGCAAGCAGTCAACAGATTACTTGGGTCACACTAGGTTGTTCATTCAAATTCATATTTTCCTAGAAAGACTCCATTAGCAAAGAAGGCTAAATGTTTCCCTGCATTATTAACCGTAGAGACCTTCTCTTACAAGCCACGACTAGCTACAGAAATGCAGCATAGTTTTTTGTACTGGTTTTGGCTGGGATAGAGTTAATTTTCTTTATAGGAGCTCATAAGGTGTGAATCATCCTAAAGAACAGCAGGTGAAGAAGGAAAGCAGGATCTCTGGCATGTCACTCCCCTTTTATACACAGATAGGGGCTAAACAACTAGGAGGGGCTTATGAAGTGGGCAGAGTCTTAATCCACCCTCTCCATTCCCTTCCCTTGCCATCTGAGCATTTAAACTGTGCTTGTCAGAGGCAAGGAAGAATTCAACAAAGATTGTATTCAAAGCTCCATTTCCGTTCCTAACATGACTCAGATAACATTGACCCTTATTACAGACCCCCAAGTGAAATCTTACTTGGGAACATCTAGAATAGACTGGAAGACAGGTAGTTCAGACTTGTTCAAATGATTTGCATGTGCACTAAAGAGGCAGTTCTGCAAGAGATACATCACTGACTTCTCAGACTCAGCATGCATTTTGCAAAGTAAGAAAAAATTAGTCCCAAGCTTTTGAAAAAGAACACACGCACACACCCCTTTCTCTGTAAAAAAACCTGATTTTCAAGACGTCTTTCATGAACAATGGCCTATTTTTTATGATTGGTTGGTTTTGGTTTGGGTTTGGGGTTTTTTTTTGCTTAATGGCTTAGATGTGAAATTAACTTAGAGCTGGAGCACATGAATAGCTAAAAGCTTGTTTCAAACTATCTCCAATTACAGATATTACAGTGCATTAGCCTGGATGAACTAATACATAATCTGATGAAACAATAATTACTCTTCTTAACTGTTTATAGTACCTTTTATCCTGCTGACAGTGAATGCTTCAATGGGAAAAGCACTACTTAATGATGTCTTGAAAATAAAACTGAATTTTACCTGACAACCTGTTATCATGCGCTTTGGGGAAAAAAAAAAAAAAAAGATATCACAGATCAAAATAAAAGCCACAAAGGAGTGTTTGGAAGTATCCACAATGCAAGACTCGGCTCAGGAAAACACTTATGTGGGAGCAGGATGTCAATGGGGCTTAAGTGAGGATGTAGGACACAGTTATATCCTTGGCTTTATCTTTAGACAAAATCACAGCTTCTAAAGAACTCCTACTGCCAGTGGTATTAACTGCTCTCCCTGAAGTCAAGGCTTCTGTCTCATCTTAGGTCGTTTTCATTAAGGTAATTATCTTTACAATAAACTGGCCTGGGGACCAGAATTATCATATGAAGTCTCATCCCCTAGAACCCCTCCCATCAGTGTGCTAATTTCTGCTTTGATGCCTCAGTTTGACACTTCCTTAGCTGTGGTAACACAACTAGTTGAAAGGCAGTGCTATAAAACTGTTTGCTAAGCTCATCGGGGTAAACAAATAGCTTTTACTTTAAGGATGGGGAAGGATTTTAACCTGGGTCTTCTCACAGGCCCACAAGCACATGTAGAGGGAGCAGTGAGCTGCAGCCACAAATGAAGAAACACGCTCACTTGGGGGCATTTGGGCATTTTTTGACTCAGTTTTGCCACCAAAGATACTGCTCTGGATTTGGAGGCCTGGTGTTCAAGACAGCCTTGGACAGAGTCGCTGTCATGTGAGTAAAAATTTAATAAGACTATGCTGATGAAATGCAAGCACACTGTTATGCTCTAATGTTTAATACAAAGAGGGTCCTAGATGCAGAGTCACCCCTATGCTGCTGGCTCATTACAGATAATTAGATAAGAGGTGGGCCAAGTGCTCACTCCTGCAAGTTCAATAAAATGGGTACTCCTGTGTGATGGGGGAGTCACACAGCAGTGACTATGGCTCAGAACAGTAGCCCACGCTGCTTAGCTCCCAGCCCCAAGGATTGGGGACCTCCTGCAGTCACAAACAGAAATCACTGGACTGCATGTCAGATTGAGTCACCTGAAGGCAAGCCTAGAGAGGTAGGTAGCTATGATGCTTATCCAGAAAAGAAGCAAGTAATTCCTGGACCACGGGGCTTCCTGGAGCTGCACACCCTGAACAAGGAGCTCACTTCCCCTTTATTCATTCTACTGTATTTTTATCCCTCTTTTTACCAAGCAGCAAGTAGTGCAAGTTAACAGCATACAAAATAACCTCAATCTTTCAGAATCCCAATGCTTTTTATGCCAAGACACTGTCAAGTGCTGCAATACATTCTTTTTTTTCCATGGAGGGGGATGCAGGGGGGTGCACTGGAGAACCCATCCTTGGGGCACCCTCTCCCACAGTGTGGTCTGCAGCACAAGTTATTGCCAGCACCCTGAAACTCTTCTAGGTCCCTGAGTAATAAGACCCCCTATACAACATCTCACCTGGCCTACAGACCCTTTTGGCTTAACTTGCCCAGAAGTCCTGTCCCAGCATTTTATGGTGCTGTTCAAGCAGCATCAGCAGGAGGGAAACCAAACACACAGAAGAACCCACGCAAAGAGAGCAGAGAAAGGCCAGGTGACTCATATCAGGAGTGCTTATTAAGTATCAATGCCTATTACGTTAATATCACTCATTAAAAAATTATCACAGTGCTACCATCACCTATGACCTTTATAAACAGAAATTCATTTCTTTCCTTTGTCAACATTCCCCCAGCCCTGAAAGCAGCATATTAAGGATGCATGAGGGATTGGCATTAACACCCATCCAGATCTCTGCTGTTTGTACTGCCAATACAAAGGGCAATTTTCAGCTAGGTTTGTGTTTTGCTTGCTTTGTTTATCAACGTGCTCTCGAGCACCTTCTGACGCTGCTGCTTAATAAAACCATTAAACTGGAAGGAAAACTGGTAAATGCAGGAACAAAAAGGATAAGGAAGACAAAAAAAGAAACAGATGTGGCACACAGTCTATTGAGTGCAGCTATTCAGCCCCTGTTGCCTAAAGTAAACAAAGACATAGTTCTAGCCCTGCAAACTCTCCATGTCTCAGCAGTACAGTGCGTACAAGATGTATGTGCCTAGGTCCCAGCCCAGGGCACTCCAGTAAGAAATAGGAAGAACCAGATTGCCCTGCAAAAGGGAGTGGTGGGGAAGCCAGCTGCATACTGTTCATTTTCAGGGCCTATATAGCAACACTACACTTACAAGCAGCCACTGTCTTGAGCAGATGCATTTTTTTGAATAGCCCCTATCTGAAAAGTGCCTGCTGATTCCAACGCAACTTCTTCCAGAGCAAAGCTTTGCTGAGCCCAAATAAAGAAGATGCATTGTGACCTCCTGAAACTAAAATTCATCATTTGATCAAAACAGATCTTGTCAGTTATGAGCTAGGTCAAATTAAAAGTGACATGCTGGTCAGTGTCAATTTTAACCAAAGCTGTAGCAAGACATTCTGGCATCCCTAGCCAAGATGTCAGTTTAATGCTTATTCTACCCTGCCTTTGCAATAGCCTTAAGTGGATTTGGAGCTGACAGCAGCCTCTGGCCAGAGCTGTTACTCTCATTACCACACTCTTACCTTTCTTAGCCTAGAGAGCTGTCTCGGGTAGGTGCAGATGGCAAATGCATGTTTTGTCCTACACTTTCTGTCAAGTTTTGCCAACGCCTTCCCAAATGATCCTTGGCTGCGGTTATTTTCACTGCATTGAAACTACTAGACCATAAGCAGTAGGTTGAGCAGCTGTAACATACCCAAACTTTTCTAAACACTGTGCTGGGCCAAGCGTTTCTGTCACTTACTTGAGTAAGAACAGAACTGGTAGCCTCAGCTGTAAAACAGCTTACACGTTACCTAAGTATAATAGCAAGTTTCAGCAGAGATCCTCAAAACATTAACATCCACTTGGTGAGACTGACTGTAATCTACTCTGATGAAATAAGTAACCTCCCTGACTTCTAGTCAAGGTGATTCATTCAAGATCACAAAGCAACTGCAATTATTATTTTTTATTACTTATGCTGAGTTTGTAAGCATATCCTAGGAAAGATCAGGGCCTTCTGATGCAATAACCGACACGGAAGGGTAGGCCAAATTGAATAACTTGTTTTGCCCTTGCCCTTGTGAACAGCAAAATGTGGCTGCAGTAGCAGAGCAAATTTTGAGGAGGAGACAGATTACAAAGAGCATGAGGAATTACTATAAAGGGGAAAGGTAACAAAGCTTAGCTGGAGGGTTGGAGAGAATGAGGCTGGGACTAGACAGAATGGTTTTGAGAAGGGCTCCAGGCATGAGGATGTCATTTTCCTGCCATTCAGTCCTTATGGCTGTGGCACCCTCATCATTGCTTTTAAGTCCTCCCCAGCACATATATCTCTACCCAGGAGGCCATTCTTTCTGCTGGAGCAGCTACTTTTGCCCCACAACACCTTCTGCCTGGCTTCCTGAACCCAAGGCTCCTCCTATATGACAGACTGAGGCAAAGAGGTTTGCATTGCCAAAGAGAAGCAGTGGTGGTGAACTAAATTG